ATCTAAATAAGTCTAAAGAAGCTGGCCAACAAATTTGAAATTGTCAAGAAGAACATCTGAACTATAGGTTTAGATCTATAACACTGAATGATAAAATTTGCTCTAGGCTGGGCATGGTGGCCCATGCCTGTAATCCTAGCACTTGGGGAGACTGAGAGGGGAGGATCACTTGAGGTCAGGAGTTCAGGACCATCCTGACCAACATGCTGAAAACCTGTCTCTACTAAAAATACAAAAATTAGACAGGCGTAGAGGCACATGCCTATAATCCCAGCTACTCAGGAGGCTGAGGCAGGAGCTTGAACCTGGAAGGCAAAGGTTGCAATGAGCTGAGGTTGAGACATTGCACTCCAGCCTGGGCTGCAGAGTGAGATTCCATCTAAAAAACAAACAAACAAACAAAAAAAAAAAAACAAAGAAACAAAAAAACAGAAAAACTTGCCCTAAATTAATGGTTCTAAACGGGATCACTTTGCCCCTGAGAGGACATTTGGAACATTAGGAAGGTCTAGACATTTTTAGTTATTAAAACTAAGAGGTGCTACTGGTCTCTAATGGGGAGAGACCAGGAATGTGGTTAAACCTCCCACAATGTACATTTTATAGTCCCCACCACCAACAAGGAATTATCTGGCTCCAAAACAATAGTGTCATGGTTGAGAAATCTTGAACTAAATTAAATATGTATTGTGCCTTGAGATTGCAAATGTATATATTCTAGGCATATACAATTTATAAAGTAACATATAAAATTAAACATGGAACAATATGTATTCAAAGTACGTTTATCACAGACAACTAAATCAAAAAGAGAGTGCAGACAATATCAGAATAGCACATAATAGATGCTTGATAAAAGTTATTGCTTGCCCTTATTTGAAGGCTGGTTAAAGTTTTTAAAACTATGTCACTGAAATTATTGAAGAATCTGTGATTGTAGAATATAAAATAGAAGACGAAGAAGCATGTTAGCTGCCTTCAGAAAGCTGAAGGAGTATTCTGTAGCAGAAAGATTTGTCTTAGCAGTGTACCTCCAGGGAGTCAGAGCTAAGATCACTGAAATCAAACACCGAAAGACTATTTGATGCAAGGAAGGAAGGAAGATTTTTCTAACAATTTTCGTGGCCAGGTGATGAAATGAGCCAAAGCGCTACTGTTTGTTCTCACTTGGGATGAAATGCAGACCAGGATGAGCTATCTGGGCCTCAGCTTGACAATTCTGCAAATTTGTTCTTAAAAGTGTGAATAGCCTTTCACTGTGCGTTTAAAGTAGAGGCTGCAAACTTGTGGTCCTTAGGAGTGTGTTGTGCTTTCCAGAATGGTGTTTTAAAACATGTATAAAAATAATACTCAATATTTAGCAATACTTATTTATTTTTCTTATTCAACTTTTATTTTAGAATGAAGGGGATATGCCTGCAGATTTGTTGCAAAGGTATATTGTGTGATGCTAAGGTTTAGAATATGACTGATTTCATCACCCAAGTAGTGAGTAGGGTACCTAATTGGAAGTTATTCAGCCCTTTCCTTCCTCCTCTTCCTGCTCTAGTTGTCCCCAGTGTTTATTATTCCCATCTTTATGTTTAGCTCCCACTTATAAGAGAACATGTGGTATTTGGATTTCTGTTTCCACATTAGTTCACTTAGGATAACGACCCCCAGCTGCATCCATGTTGCTATAAAGAAGATGATTTCATTCTTTTTGATGGCTGCGTAGTATTCCACGGTGTGTATGTACCACATTTCCTTTGTCCAATCCACCATTTATAAGTACTTGGGTTGATTCCAAGTTTTTGCTATTGTGAATATTGCTGCAGTGAACATAGGGTTGCTTGTGTCCTTTCAGTAGAATGGCTTATTTTCTGTCCCGACCTGCAGGACAACAACAGGAGCTCGAAGGGAGGGAGTGGGGATGGATGGGCAGGAGACGCGAAGAATGGAGACAAGACAGGAGTCTGATCAAGTCTTGTTTATTGTTTCTAAGCTCACAGCTTAAATAAGCGCAGGCAGAGAAGCAGGGCAAGGGTAGACATTCCGGCCTACCTGCTGAAACTTATCGGCAGGAAACATTAAACTGAAACTTATGGGTGGGGGGCACAGAAACTGAAACATTACTGAAACTTATCGGGGGGGTGGGGAGGGTGGGTGGGGTGTGGGGGGGTGTTGGGAACAGAAACTGAAACATTACTGCAGCGGGAAAAACAGGAAACTGAACATGGCTGAGCAGATCACAAAATGGCGGCTATTGCTGCCCACAATTTTCCTCTGGGTACATACCTAGTAATGGAATTACTGGGTTGATGGTAGTTCATCTATTCATTTTTGAGAAATCTTCAAACTGCTCTCCAGTGGCTGGACTAATTTATATTCCCACCAACAGTTTGTAAGTGTCCCCTTTACTCCACAACCTTGCCAATATCTGCTGGTTTTTTTTGTTTTGTTTTGTTTTGGTTTTTTTTTTTTTTTTGCTTTCTAACAAAAGCCATTCTGACTGGAGTGAGATGGTATTTCATTGTGGTTTTGATTTACATTTCTCTGATGATTTATGATGGTGAACATTTTTTCATATGTTTATAGGCCAATTGCAAGTTTTCTGTTGAGAAGTGTCTGTTCATGTCTTTTGCCCATTTTTAAATGAGGTTATTTGCTTTTTGCTTGTTGAAATTTTTAAGTCCCTCATAGATTTTGGATCTTTGTCAGATGTATGGTTTGAAAATATTTCTCCCATTCTGTATGTTGTCTGTTTACTTTTTTGATAGTTTCTTGCTGTGCAGAAGTGCTTCATTTAGGTTCCACTTGCAAATTTTTGTTTTAGTGGCAATTTCTTTGGAGAATACCTCCATAAATTATTTGCCAACGTTAATATGGATAAAAGTATTTCCTAGGTTTTCTTCTAGCATTTTTGTAGTTTGAGGTCTTATATTTAAGTCTTTACTGTATATTGAGTTAATTTTTATATCTGGTAATAGGTAGGGGGTTCAGTTTCATTCTTTTGCATATGGATTGCCAGTTATCCTAGCACAATTTATTTAACAGAGGATCTTTTCACCATTGTTTATTTTTGTTGAATTTGTTGAAAATAAGCTGGTTACAAGTGTGTGGCTTCATTTATGTGTTCTGTAATCTGGTCTATTGGTCTATGTGTCTGTTTTTGTGCCATTACCATGCTCTTTTGGTTACTGTAGGCTTATAGTGTAGTTTGAAATCAAGTAATGTGATGCCTCTGGCTTCATTCCTTTTGCTTAGGATTGCTTTGGCAATTTATGCTCTTTTTTGGTTCCATATGAATTTTATAGTTTTTTATACTTATATGAAAAGCGACGTTGGTAGTTTTATAGAAATACCATTGATCTGTAAATAGCTTTGGGCAGTATGGCATTTTAACACCATTGATTCTTTCAGTTCATGAGCATGGAATGTTTTTCCGTTTATTTGTGTCATCTCTGATTTTTTTCATCAGTGTTTTGTAGTTCTTGTAAAGATCTTTCACCTCCTTGGTTAGTTGTATTCTGAGTTATTTCATTTTTTCATGGCTATTATAAATGGAATTCTGTTCTTTCTTTGGCTCTCAGATAGAACATTATTGGTGTATAGAAATGCTACTGACTTTTGTATATTGATTTTGTATCCTAAAACTTTACTGAAGCCATTTGTCACTTCTAAGAGCTTTCAGGTGAAGCCTTTAGGGTTGTCTAGGTATAGAACCATATCATTAGCAAAGAGACATAGTTTGAGTTCTTTCCCTATTTGGATGCCTTTTATTTCTTTCTCTTGCCTAATTGCTCTGGCTAGGACTTCCAGTGCTATGTGGAATAGGAGTGGTAAGAATAGGCATCCTTGTCTTGTTCCAGTTCTTAACATTTAAAAAGCAAATGACTTAACATAAGTAATCCAGGTTTCAGGTTTCTTCTGTAATACGAATAGATACGTCAATATCAAGTCCATAGTCCTATCTAGCAATCAGAAGCTGGGATTGTCTGCTTTGCTCATTTCTATAACCTGCTTTAACTCTAGAGTACTTGAGTTTTGGAGGTAGGTAGTAGTTTAGGAAGCCAACTATAGCCACAAGACTTGGCTGCTAATCCTTCTGCCTTCATTTACTAGTGGTGTAACCTTTGGCAAGGTACTTAACTGCTCTTTAATCATTTCATCTGGGATATGAAAATAACAATAATACCCACCTCATAGGGGTGTATGAAGATTAATTGAATTCACTACATACAAAGTCCCTGGAAGAATTTCTGACACATAGTAAGTATTCAGTAAGTGTGACAGTCATTCCAGTTTGCGGCCCCTGGCAGAAAGACTGCCTGCATGCACATTCTTGGCAGAGTGTTTGAGTCAGCACGGGTCCATCGATCTGACGTTACCATTTTAATGGATGTTATACTAGGAACAAAAGTTATGTTTCCATGCAGAAGTTGAAACAATAGTCTATACCACTTTTTTTATGTCAGCCCTATGACTACGTAGAGTAATGAGCATGAAATAAAGATGTGGTTGGGGAGATGAGAAAGGACAGTTTGCTCTGTTTTATGTGTCTTTGATAATTTCATGTCAGAAGTTCACAGTGGAAACATGAATCTACAAAATTACAACTTTGGGGGAACAGTGGGCACTATCACTATAGTTCAGCACAATGACACTGGGGACTAGAGGAGAGAACTTGAAAGAGAAATTCAGAGGAGATGGAAAGAATAATGTTCAAAGATGTCTATTCAAGCCCCGAAGGATAACTTAAGTTCCCAAGGATCACTGACCTAGCACTTCATCATCTAGGATATGCCAATCAGTTAATTTCAAATGAAGCTTGAGTTAAAATTCCATTATCATCTTGCCTTGCTGGAAATAAGGGTTTATTTTTATTATTTGTGTAGGTTTTCTTTCAGTTTTATGGAAAAAATTGAAAAATGGATAGAGTCCATTATGAGATAAATGGAATTTTTACCCAATGAACAAAAAATGGCTTTGAAATTGGTTGTATAACCTTCTTATTTCAGGATCAGGCCGAACAGAGATGCCACACATACCTTTTGCTATTGGCTGCTATTCAGAGCAAAACCACAAAGCATAGAAATTGCAGGTTCGTTCATTCTTCAGTGCTTAACAATCTCCCAAGGAAGGCAGATGCATTTTCCAAGATAGCAGTTTCATCAAAGAACAGCCGATAATGAGAGATAAAGAGCTGCCTGGCGGCTTGAGCTTACGTCTGTTTCAAGGATTTACTGAATACTAATAGAACATGGCTTTTGTTGGAGAAGAAGCCTTTGCAGTCAGTGATTGCCTTGTGTCATTAAACCTAGCCACCAACTGGTTTGCCCCACAGGATCTATAGTAGTTTACCAAGTCAGGGAAAAAATATTAATTAGATTTTTTTTAATTTAAAAAGAAGATGGACTTTATGTGTTTGTTCATTCAATAGTGAAAAGATTTGTGTATGTGGTGAGTGATTTCCGTTTCATTACTACAGAGTGGCACATGGTACATGTAGGAGGCAGAATGAAGTGACCTGGTATCGCATCCCACTGAAGGGAGTTTGAAACCCCACCTGGCTTTATAAGCATATTCTATTGGCCCATCCTGTTCATATACCCCCTGAACTACACAATTATGCTTTTCATTACATATTATCTTACGTTTTTCTTTATTTGTGTACATCACTTTTGCTTCCCAAGGTATAATATACATTTCACAAGATCATAGTCCTAGCACTTCTTTTACTCTTCCATGTTGTTATTAGGAAAAACTGGGCACATGTCATAGGTTGAAAATACATGTTGATTGAGTGTCAGATTGCGGGTTCAGAACATGATGGAAAGAAAGGAGAAGGCTTTGGCAGATTCCAGAAGAAGCTGAGTTTTTAAAGGAGTAAATGGTAACATATGAAAAATTTGACCTAAGTGATGAAAAAAATAAAACTCCATTAAGGTGCCTTGTTCCAGCTTTCTCCTAAGACAAGACCTTCAACACAGAAATGGACAATTTTGAATGATGAAGAGAAGTATTTTGCTATGCCAAAATGGATGTAATCTCAAACCATATTTGATTTCCTCATGATATGATAGATTAGGGGGATGTAAAACCAGATTAAAAATCTGAGTTCTTTGGATATTTGATATTCAGGTTTTCCTCTCACTTCTCTCTGTTATTCATCTCCATGATTTTTGGCCCAATAAAGGCTTAGTTAAAAATAGATAAACAAAAAGGTGCCCAGTTACCTTTTTTGCTGGTGATAATCATAGGAAATATGTTTACTTTCCTTCTGGAACCAATGATCTTATCCCCATTCATTTGTGGTATCAATGAAAGATATTTGGAATTTATGTGAAAATTAGTATCATATAAGAATTTCTACCTGATATCTTAACGTGATATCAGTCAAATACTTGGGCTGAGGTTCCAAACACAGCCATTGGGTGGGATTGGTGCCTTCAGCACTTTCTTTGAAGTTGTTAGAGAGGGAGTGAATGTCATCCCCACTGTTCCATGGCTTTTCTACAAAAGCTACGGTGATTTTTTATGTACATACCAGCATTTTTGACATGTACAATTAATCTGTGTATGAATCAAAATGCTGCCTTTCCTACTATGGGTGAGTGATGGATTTTGATTGTATCAGGGCATACTCAGGCCCTCCTGTGTTTGGGTAGCTTTCATAAAATCAATACATCACTAAAGTCCTTCCTACAGAACTAAGTAATGGAAGCAACCACCTTGAGTCACCACGTCTATAAATTTTTATCGTACAGTTCACCAGACATATTTCCTCTATTCTTTTATTTATTGTATAAGAGAAAAGACGGTAACATTTTCTGAACAACTCCTATGGTCAAGTTTTGTATAGGGGTTTAACATTATTGATTTCCATAACACTCTGAGTGAAGTGTGGCTTCATTTGTACAAAAGGAAATTGAAGCTCAGCAGTTAAGTGACTGGCTCAGGGTACACACACTAATGGACATTAGAGTGGGGATTTGAATCTAGATCTGTCTTAAAACATAGTCTATGATGATTATCCTTTTTCTTTGTCTCCTGTGTAAAATAACAATTTTCAATCTTTGGCAATTCTACCACTCTACTTACATCACTTGTAGAGCTGACATTTATTAGGTAGGACCACATTGCACAGCTTCATGTACTGTTTTAAATTTACACTTTTAATCCTCATCATAATTCTGCAAAGTTAGTGAAATTATTACCTCTTTCATATTACAAATGTGGAAACTAAGGCATAAGAATGACATTTAAATTGCCCAAGGTCGTGTGACTGTTTAGCGGCAAAGTAGGATTTAAGCCCAGGCATGTGGCTCTAGAGTCTGTCCTTGTAATCACTATCCTCAGCTGATATACTCTGTGTGCTGCACTGTGTTGAACAGTGCACAAACACAGCTCTGATCTTGAAGTATGCCATTTAGTATATTGATATCTAATTACCTAATAGGTACTCAAAATAGTTTCTCTAGGTGTCTCCTTTCAAAATGGTTTATGCACTAGCTGAATTGGGCTGAATAAATAACATTTCTCCATGCTATGAGTTATACATGTTTAGGAGTTGTTAATTTCTCCTATTTAATAACACTGTATCTGTGAAAAGCCAATTCTCTCTATTCTATTAAAAACAAAGGAGAAATTATACTTTTTATTCTTTCAATAAAAGTATAATTTCTGTGATGTTTGTCCACCAAATTATATTTTCTGTTCAATATAAATTAATTACAGATCATATGTGGACCAAGTAGGGGTTACAATATATTCAGCCATTCACATTATTTCCAATAGAAGACTCAAAGTAACATCTTACAATTGCTTTGAGGTTTTTTTTTTTTAATAAAATAAAATAAATGGGCATCTTGCTTGCCTTCGAAGATTCCTTTGCTAATCTCAGATTGCCATCTGAAATTTTAATTAGTGATTTGAAATGTGCTTACGCAAAGAACCTTGTCCAAGTTGTCTGTTTCTGCCAAATTAAACTATTAAACTGAGTAACCTAATTAAAATCCTTTTAGCTTTTAATCAATATTTTATTTACATCCATATTTCCCAGGAAGCTTAATGAGTTTTTTTGGAAGTGAGAGTTATTTCTGTCCCATTTATCAAAGGTCAATTTTAAGAAGTAAGTTCTTTTCTCTAAGGCCGTGGAGGCAGCCAAAAACACATGAGGACACCTTTGGTGCGAGCCCTTCTGTCCTCTACAAACCCTGGGTGCACAGGAAGCTGGGCAGTGCTCCTGCAGCTGCTGGGTGAGGTAGCTGAAAGAGCAGCTCCACTGCCCTACACACAGCCGGTCCCCCTGTCCTTTCCTCCTAGGGGCCCCAGCAACATGCCTGACAGTGATTACAGGGAGTGAAAAACCACAGTGTGCTCTCCAAGCAAAAAAGTAGGTTCCCCTATTCCTTATTCTTAAGAGTCGAATAGTTTCATGAGGGTTCTGGGCGCAGTAGCCTGTTACTCCAGCACTTTGGGAGGCCGGGGCAGGTGGATCACTTGAGGACAGGAGTTCAAGACCAGCCTGGCCAACATGGTGAAATCCCATCTCTACTAAAAATGCAAAAATTAACCAGTCATGGTGGCAGGCACCCATAATCCCAACTATTCAGGTGACTGGGGCCTTTGTATTGCTTGAACCCGGGAGGCAGAGGCTGCAGTCAACAGAGATTACACCACTGTATTCCAGCTTGGGCAACAGAGTGAGACTCCATTCTGTTTATTCATTTCCTGGTCATCCCTCCTCACTCATCCCACTTACCTGAGGCACGCACTTTCAGATCACGTTATAAATTTATTTATGAAAGTCTCTAAAAAGCATACATGACTTCCTAAATTTCTAAATTTTAGACATCAACCATTAATTTCCAACTGTAGAAAATAATGACTTAGCTTCTTCAATCTCCCCTACTCCTATCCACATCCATATTTCAACCAATCATCCCATTGTCTCAATAAATTTTGATTCTATAGGCATTTAATTTTGATATTTTTATGACCATGTAAACACTATTCTCACTTAAGTCAGTAGGATAGCATAATTTATTTTCTTTCCTTGAAAACTCTTTTTTCTTGAATTTGACTATCTTATTTTCTTGTTTCCTTAGTTTTCTTTTTTAAAAAAATTATTACACTTTAAGTTCTGGGGTACATGCACAGAACGTACAGGTTTGTTACATAGGTATACACATTCCATGGTGGTTTGCCGCACCCATCACCCCATCATCTGGATTAGGTATTTCTCCTGATGTTATCCCTTCTATAGCCCTCCACCCCTCTGTTATCCTTCCTCTAGCTCCCCAGCCCCCAGCAGGCCCCAATGTGTGATGTTCCCCTCCCTGCATCCATGTGTTCTCATTGCTTAACACCCACTTATGAGTGAGAACATTTGGTGTTTGGTTTTCTGTTCATGTGTCAGTTTGCTGAGAATGATTATTTCCATCTTCATCCATGTCCCACAAAGAACATGAACTCATCTTTTTTTTATGACAGCATAGTATTCCATAGCGTATATGTGCTATATTTTCTTTATCCAGTTTATCATTGATAGACATTTGGGTTGGTTCCAAGTCTTCGTTATTGTGAACAGTGCCACAATAAACATACATATATATGTGTATTTATAATAGAATGATTTATAATCCTTTGGTTATATACCCAGTACTGGGATTGCTGAGTCAAATGGTATTTCTAGTTCTAGATCCATGAGGAATTGCCACACTTCTTCCACAATGGTTAAACTAATTTACACTCCCACCAATAGTGTAAAAGTGTTTCTTTAGGTTCTAACTAACAAGAGATATGAAGAACCTCTTCAAGGAGAACTACAAACCACTGCTTAAGGAAATGAGAGAGGACACAATAGAAAACTAAGGATTTTATATTTAGAAAACACCATTGTCTCAGCCTAAAATCTCCATATGCTGATAAGCAACTTTAGCAAAGTCTGAGGATACAAAATTAATGTGCAAAAATCACAAGCATTTCTGTACACAAGCATTTCAATTACAGACAGAGAGCTAAATCATGACTGAATTTCCATTCACAATTGCTACAAAGATAATAAAATACCTAGGAATACAACTGAGAGGTGAATGGAAAAAGAGAGCTGGAAATCACAACACCAGAATATGAGATTTTACTGAATTCTCTGTTTCTCAGCCTTCGTGAGGACCCTCAACTATGTCTGGTGTTCTCTACTCCAGAGACCCTTTCTTTTGCCATCTCATTGATACCAAAGGTGTGAAGCATGATAAAACTTCACTCTTTTTCTCTGGGTGGCCTATGGAGAGAGTGGGGATTGGATCTCTGTTTCTCAAAGAAACTTTAAAAAATTATTCGTTTTATGTCTCTCTCACACAAACACATCCTTCCAAGGGCCCTGGTGCTGTACATTTCTGATCATCTTGGAGTTTCTGCACAAAGAATTGTATTTCTTCTCATTGTTTTCCTATAGCTGAGCCAGCGTGTGTGTGTGTCTGTGTGTGTGTGTGTGTGTCTGTCTGTCTCTGTGTGTGTGTGTGTATGTGTGTGTGTGTGTCTGCTAAATCTATTACTAAGTGGTCCTTTTGTTTTTGAACTTCCAAAATGTTTCTCTATTCTGTCCATTTTTTTTTTATTCTGATGGATTAGAAACAAAACAGCAATAATGGATACAACTCTTTGTTGTCATTAGATTGAGTTTTTGAAAAAAGTGGAGATAAATATCAATATCATTATGCTCTTTTGTGTGAAAAACTATCAAATCACTCTAAAACTGAGTGTCTTAAAGCAATAAATATTTAATATTGCTGAGAGTCCATAAATCAGCTGGATAATTCAGGTAATCTCAGCCAGGTCTAGCTGATATTTCCTGGACTCACTCAGGTATTATGGTGAGCTGACAAGTTGGCTGGACTCTGGTCTAAGATGGTCTGATTCACATACATATCAGAACGTCAGCTGGTTGACCAGCTGTTTGCTGAGGTGATAAGTTTGCCCAAGCCATGGCTCTCTCATTATCCAGGCTGTCCTAAGCTTGTTCTCTGATGGTTCTTAGGATTAGCTTTCCAAAAGCAAAAGCAAAAGGATGTAACCCTCATGATTGCACATGGCACATCATCACTTCTGCCACATTCCATTTGCCAAAACTGGTCACAAGTGCAACCCAGATTCAAATAGTGAGGAAATCTTGGTGGACAGAACTACAAAGAAACAT